ATATTATTTTTATTTATTGTGTATACATTGTAAATTGCGTTAAATATTGCTTTATATGATCGTTATTTAATTGAAAATAAAGTCTTATCGTTATAAAAAAATAATCAAAGACTTAATTTCTGGGCCATAATCTGGACTATCATCCGAACGATCATCCGAAACCTGGTACACATTTTCTGAGTGCAACGTGGAATAACTCTAATTATTCTGGTGGGACAATCATAATAAGCTGCCGGATAATCTGACATATGGGATAATTATCATAATAAATTAAAAGAACAATCATCTCTTTTAATTGACAATTTTAGGGTTAGTATTAGGGCCTGAGGTTTACAAATTTAGCGTGGACTCCATGTATAAATAATTTTTTTAAAGTTACAATTAGGTCAATTTACAATAAATATGAAAAATGCCGGGTACTTTCTAAGAGTGTCTTCTAATTTATATTGATAACAATCTCTGGCATAAAGATAAATCATTCTATTAGTATTCCCATTTTTGACTGATTTTTGATAAATTTGAAATTTTGTGTTTTTTAGGGAAGGAGTGCAGGTTTTGTAAGTCTATCACTAAAACATTCTAAAATTCAATTTTAAAATTGATAACGGATTAGTACAAATCACTTGTATACCTGGTAAAGTTACCGATAGATTTAAACTCAACATAGCATTATCATTCCTTATCATTTAACTGATTCAAAAGTTAATTAAAAAAGCCTGAAATAATGGTTATAATACTTGAACAAATAAAATTCCTTTTCATGAAAGCCTTAGAAATTAAATAGCTACATGAAAATTCAATCTATTAATAATATTGATTAATAATAATCAAAAAAAAAAGAAAAAGAAAAAAAATCCAACTACCAACTGAAATTTTGAATGCCGAGTAATAAGGTTCTAATGTTTCATTTAAAAAAATTTCGCCAAAAATAATTTTGCTGTTAATTTAGAATTAGGTTTTGCTATTAAGTTAGCTAGAAAGACTTTTATAATATCAAAATTTTCAGGAAAACCTTTTGTTAATGTGTAGAAGGGAGTTCCATAGTAAGATATTGGGCTATTTTGATTTTTCACATTTCTTCTGCACTACAGTACACCTGATCTTGAAATATCTATAATCAATTAAATCAATTAAATAATATTTGTCTTCCTGGAGGAAAAGCATTTGCAAAAGCACTTTATTTGAAGGCTATATCTTTTTTTAGGCCTTTTTATACTGTCATTTTGATTTTAATGTCGGAATGTTTTAGCAGATATACTTTTTATAATAATATTTGTTTTGAAATAGAAATGTATTAGTAAGAACTTTTTGTAATAACACCATACTAACTTTCTTAGATATTGCTTTTTAATAATCTTGGTGATATTATTAACAAAGAATCTATTACCTAACCTAATTTTTAAAGATAAAAAGTGTTAGAGGTGGTTCTTTGCAAAATAATAAATTTATAATAAAATATTTTGTAGAAACATGATCGATTGAATTTACAGGCTTGTAAAATATGCATAATAGATTCTTGTAACCCAAATTACTCGTTCCTATAATTCTATTCACATAATCCATATTATCTTTATCATAATTTCCTACACATATTTAATTGTTAACTTTCTCTTCATTATTTTTATTTATTTATTATTTGGGATTGAAAATTTTTACATAGAAGTCAAACTGTAATTGTCATAGTAATATCTTGAATCATTTACGATTTTTAATGTTTTTTTTTTTAATTTTTATATTACAAGCGATCGTATAATTTATTGGCTACAATTAAGGGCATATCATGGTAGGGTGTTCCATCAAGTCTATGTATGGTAGCTAACGTATATTCGCGTAATGCCCATGAGCATTATTTCGAATTTTGGCCAGAATTAAGCTTAATTTAGGCCAAACTTCGAAATTACACCCCTGCGATATCTGGTATGTACGTACGTACGTAATTTGGCAGTATTGTGTAAGATATAATTTGGGCGGCATCAAGAAAAAACCTGTCATCGGTGTTTTAAGCCCGGACAAAATCCTTAATTAATCTGCTGTAGATATTATTTAAGCGGATATATCCGAATTTAATATTAGAACAGAACAGATCAGATTATCCATTATTTTTTTTTTGCTTTTTGTCTAATGTTTTGGACCGTGGCACTTCAATAGACAACACAATGTTTCAAACTGCTAGTATAATTGAGCTATTCACACGAAAAAATAGCCTTTCTAATGCTATTAAAAAAAAAAAATTGAATGAGTACCACCACATGCTTTTATAAAACTAATTAAATTTCCTTTGCACACAGTTTAATTCACATAATTTATTTAATAACAATAAAAATTCAAATAAGATTTATTGAATTAAATAAATTCGAGTTACATAAGATGTACATGAGATATTGGGGTGGGCGATATACTATATGAATCAAAACTATATGTAGTCATATAGTAAAATTTATTAGTGAATTTTTATAGTTAGCGATCGATAGGTAATAATTTTTATATATAATAATTATTGGATTTTAAATAGATGCACAGCCCTAACAGTTCGATGGTTTTGGATAAAATTTCGTAAAGACCAGTATTACGTCTCTGCAAACAAAGCTATAGAGCCATTTCTTAAAAAAGAAACTAAATTAAGCCATTCTTCTAAGTATTTCCTTCGACTTCTTTTTAAGGGAAAAAACATAGTATACGTATTAAAAATTTTTATATTTAAATAAAAGAAAGGGCTCTATAGTTTTATTTGTAGAGATGTAATACTGGTCTTTGCGAAATGTTATTCAAAACTACCAAACCATTAGGACTGTGCATCTATTTAAAATTTAATAATTATCATATATAAAAATTATTACTTATCGATCGCTATCTAAAAAAAAAATTCATTAATAAATTTTACTATATGACTACATATAATTTTGATTTACATGGTATATCGCCTACCCCAATGAGATATTCCAATAATTATAAATGGATAACAAGGTACATATGAAATGGACTATAAGTCAAAGCTTGAAATAATGAAGATAAGAAGATTTTCCAAAGAGGAATTAACATTTACAAGATTCTTGGGTACAAGAGCAAGTACTTCCACAGTTGCAGGTACTATAAAAAGTTTAGTATAAGAATTTATCTGATATAAAAATTCAACTGATTCAAGTTTTACTGAAAAAATTAATTACCTAACACCGCAAGAAGGGTCAGTTTCATTTTGAGTATTCACTAAATGTTGTTGAGTAGTGTTTCTCTCGCAAGTGCAATTAGCACCGCATTGACAAGAAGATCCACATTTGCAATTGTCGCACATTTTTGAGTGTTGGTATGTGAGTAAAATTGATGTGTAGATATTGAGATGTTATAGATTTAATTCTTTGTGGTTGTATTTTTTGTATTTGTATTTTGATTTTTTACAAAGGTTTTCTAGAGGTGTATTTATATTTAAAATTTGAATATCGAGATAATTCTGGAAAATCTACGTAAAAATATATTAAACAATATATAAATATATAAATCAGGAAATGATGGTCATTGCGGAAAATCGGATTTTAGAACGGCAAAAATGCCTCAACATACGATACGACTAGGGATGGGCTATAAAACTACGTATTCTTACTTAATTTTACTAAATATTACACAAGATTTTTTGCATTAAGTA